AAACTATTATGTGAATTATCAAAATTATCAAAATTCAATGCTTTTAACCTCCTCGGATACTAAACGAACACTGAGGCATCTATTCTTGTTTACAAATTCCGCCCAGAGAGAACTGGTTTCAGTATGTACGCAGAGTATACGCAACTGCAATTAACTTTACTTGCATTATAACCTTGGTACAATAAAACTATGTACGTACTGTATCATTCCTGTCATGTAATGCTTGCAGTACGCTTAAGTTTAAAGTAAATGTATTAAGCCTAGAAACGTACACAAAAACTCATCCTCTAATTTAGAACTGGGTTGTCCTTTCACACTTTTTTTGCTGTCCTACCTATCATATGTTGGAATGAGAACTTGTCAATATTGTATTGTTACTTAGTTACACCAAGTGCTCATTACATTACAACTTCTAAAAATAGGATTTAACTCGTGTCAAAAGTAAAATATTTCTATTTCAGTTCAATTTTATTCTAAGAAGTAAAATTCAATGTTTATCACCATAGTTACCTCCATACTGCTTCTTTTCATAAAAACAAAATTGAGATTTCAGGTAAAATTCATTAAAAAATGTATTTTAAGAATAAAATATCAATCTGGTTTAATCCAGTGGTCTTAACTCCATTAACGCTATTTAGTTGTACTATCGCCGTACTGCAAGCGTACTTTATATATTTATGGATATTTTTATTCATGCCACAGACTATGGATATGTTTCTGATTTATGGATTTATTTTATTTGTGTATGTACAGGGTGTCCCACATCATATTTGATCGTGTGTATCTCTAAATTGATATGTGACTAATCAGAAACTTTAAAAAATGTATATATAAGGTTAATATAAAAAATTTCTTGCAGCAAAGACCAGTTTTTTCAAGTATTATGTTCATATTTTGGCCTTAAAATTTGGAGATAATACACTATGATATGGGACGCTCTGTATATTATTTTGATTAAGCTTTGTGCATGGTATACAATTAATAAATAAAAAAGATAATAATAAAAATCATTATTTAACTTGGCCTGTTTAATTTGAAACACACAGGGTTATCCACAAACAATGAGACTAATTGTAATGACGGGGTAAAACTTGTTAGATTTTTGGAATATAAGAAAATTTTTGGCAAGGAAAGAAGTAAGTGTGCAGTCGCAGAAATCAATCAATACCTGACTGAAATGACGTTCAGTCGTCTTTAATTTCTCATCCTTTATGGGTCATCCCTTGTATCGGAATAATAATGAATAGATTTCTTTTAATTCTGATATATTCCTGCAGGAAGAGAGAGCTGAGGTAGGATTAGGAGAACACGTTTAGTATGTCCAGGCCGTATTCTCCATGTACAAGTTACATCTACCTATACATGTACATAATTAGCAATCTCCATGTACAGATTTCATCTACCTATACATGATTAGTATTCTCCATGTACAAGTTACATCTACCTATTCATGTACATGATTAGTATTCTCCATATACAGTTTTCATCTACCTATACATGTACATGATTAGTATTCTCCATGTACACTGTACAGTTTACATCTACCTATTCATGTACATGATTAGTATTCTCCATGCACAGTTTACATCTACCTATACATGTACATGATTAGTATTCTCCATGTACAAGTAAAATCTACCTATTCATTTACATGAATAGTATTCTTTTTGTACAGGTTATACATAGTATTATCCATGTACGAGTTACTTCTACCTATACATGTACAGATTAGTATTCTCCATGTAAAGGTTACAACTACTTATACATGCACATGATTCGAATTCTCCATGTAAAGTTTACATCTACCATTACATGAACATGATTAGTATTCTCCATGTACACTGTACTGGTTACATCCACCTATTCATGTACATGATTAATATTCTCCATGTACAGGTTACATCTACCTATACATAGTATTCTCCATGTACAAGTTACATCTACCTATACATATACATGATTAGTATTCTCCATGTACACTGTACAGGTTACATTTACCTATACAGTTACAATCTAGTATTCTCCATGTACAAGTTACATCTACCTATACATGTACATGAAAAGTATTATCCATGTACAATGTACAAAGGAATCGAGTCGTTGCCACAAAATCAATTTTTCTAATCTTTCTCTGAAACCAGAGCCCACGATTAAAAAAATTTGGTAAAATACGACTATTTGGCGGCTCGAGTCTCGAGATAAGTTGCGACTACATATCATCAGAGTTGAGTTTGTAAAAAAACGGGTTAAAACATCGCATTTTGCAGATTTTCATGGTTAAAATTGGCGGATTCCGGGGTTTGATTAGATTAAGACTCAACATTGAGACTAAATCTCCACACTAAAACCAATCAATCTTGGTTTTATTTTCATTGGGCCTAACTCCGCAAGTTGATCCGAAGATCTTGCAGCTGTCAATCATGTGACACAAGCTGTAACTGTCATAATTACTTGGTTTGAGGAATTACGACTTAAACGGGCTCTGATGGTAGGAACTTTTGATCTTTCAAACTTAAATGATTATTTCTGTCAGATTCTAGTTTTAAATACCTAAGGTCAACTATGCTGGGTTGCAAAGATTAAAGGATTAAAAAATTTATTTCGTTGACCTTGCACTTAGAATATAGGAGGATACGCTGGGATACCGAGTGCTTTGACTTAAAGAGACGCGCGCTAAGAAAATGGGAAAATTGTAATTTGTCATTTTTTTGATGTTTCCCTTGGTATAGAATAAGCATAGAAACTGTAACTAAATGTTTCCGTTGTTCTCTCCTTTCAATAAATTTAATCACGCAATATCGAAATTAAAATAAAACTTTAGACTTTCTGTTAATTTCATTCTCAGGAAACTTTTAATAATTTTCTTCTCGAAATATCTGCAAAAAGGGGATTCAAAAATTTTTTTATCTAGGCTATCAGGGCACTTGGCGCCCATCTTTTATCTAGGCTATCAGGGCACTTGGCGCCCATCTTTTATCTAGGCTATCAGGGCACTTGGCGCCCATCTTTTATCTAGGCTATGAGGGCACTTGGCGCCCATCTTTTATCTAGGCTATCAGGGCACTTGGCGCCCATTTTTATCTAGGCTATGAGGGCACTTGGCGCCCATCTTTTATCTAGGCTATGAGGGCACTTGGCGCCCATCTTTTATCTAGGCTATGAGGGCACTTGGCGCCCATCTTTTATCTAGGCTATCAGGGCACTTGGCGCCCATCTTTTATTTCAACTTTTAATTGTTGCTCAACCTTTCAGAATTTTCTCTTCGATAAAACAATAATAACAAATTTTGCGAATTTAGAATTTTTCGTGGATTTCAAAATGTTATGAAAAATCTAACATTTTTGTAGTCAATTTTTTGTTATTTTGAGCATCTTTAAACCTTCCCTGGGGTCATGTGAGGCTCCACTCAAAAATGTGGACCCGATTAGTTTCAGCTGCTTTGAAAGTTTATAGAGAACAGACAAGCAAAGTATATATACTAGACTTTTATGGCGCTCCGCACCCATCTTCTGTTTCATTTGTAAACATTTTCTTTTGAATACATTGAAAAACAAAACAAAAATTTGCGGATTATATAAAAAAATTCGTCGATTTTCAAAATTTTCAAAAATCAAATTTTGATGAAGGCAAATTTTTGAAACTTCGATCATCCATAACCCTTACCTGGTGTCAAGCAAGGTTCCAAACAAAATTTTTTGCCCGATCGGTTCAGCCGTAATGACGTTTATTGGATGCAAACATACAGACAGAAAAAGCAATATATAGATTATCTTTCTATACACTAGACAGGATGTTTGATATAAGAGTTTATATGGTGAGAGAACAAATATTTGGTGACATCGCCTTATTTCTATTTTATTTAAAAATTAAGTTAGAATTAAGCATTATTTATGCAGTTCACCTTCTCCTAGTCAAGTTTACAAGTTACAGCACGGAAAATGCAATATTCTATTCAGACATTTCATTCCCTTTTTTTCTTTTTACACAAGAATACTGTCAATATAGAGACTAGAATCTATGTATGACAGTCACTGGAAAAAAAATTCTGGAAAAAACACTGGTAAAAAAGTCCCAATTTTCTTAAGTCCCAAAGTCTTTGGAAAAAATGTCACTGGAAAAAAAGAGTTTATGAGTATGGGGACTCACATGCAGAAAAGTCTTAGAAAATAAAGTCTCAAAATGGTAGGACTTTATTTCTAGGGACTTTATTTCTAGGGACTTTTTTTTTCAAGGACTTTTTTAGTGCCAAATTTTTGGCGGTTACCACTACCAGAGACTAGGAGACTGTGTAGGAGTAGAACTTTCATATCTTTGTTTACAATTCAAGTGTACTGCATGTACTGTTCACTCAGCATGGACGGAATGTAAACAAATTTTAATTTGAGCAGCACTTTTTGTTATTGTACATTACTCAAGGGAATAGAAGTAAAGGGAAAGGAAATGGCGCTGGTCTGGCATGAGAAAGCCAGTAACACTGCTTTGCAGACCAGTACGGTAAACTTTACACACACTATTTTGGTACAGACACACAACATGATTACAGTCAAGGAAATTGCAGAACAATGTTGTTAATTATAATTAAGCTTGAATAACGACTATATTTATTTAATCAAATTATATTCTTTGCATGAAAATTTGGCTTATAGTGTTGACTTAAATATATAGATAATATATTACATGTATATCAAACTTATTTTTAAGTAGACAATTAACAATTAACAAATGTACTCTCCTAGACTGTACAAATACCGAGATTCGTATGTACTGTAGAAACCTAGTCAAAGAGAATAGAATATATATTAGAGGGGAATTTAGAGAATATCTCGGTATGAATTTTTTCAGTCCCTTTCATCCTGAAAGGGAGTTCAAAGTGTACAAATCATGTAAATGAAATTATATGCAGTAGAGTACATTAATACAGTATGTTCCCTTGACTATCCATTTCAATTTCGAATTTTTTAAAGCTTTTAAATAAACTTAATAATGAATTAGATGAATAAAAAACATCATTTGATTTGTAGTTATAAGGGAAAATCATCGTTTGTAAAGTGAAAGGCATAGAGTCTATGTGAAATGATCATTGGTCAATTATGAAACCAGCCTATTTCATAATTTGGTTTTCTTTTAATATTAATTTTAGATTTTCTATAAAAATGATATTCCAGGGCCCAAAAGGTTATATAGCATAAATATGTGAAGTACAACTGCAGTATGGAAACAGTACAACAAAATGGCCGTTTTACNNNCTCCGAGATAGTTTTAACGAAAATATTAATGTTGTTGTTCCTGTTGAATCTGTTGTAGAGTTTGTAGGGCAAGGCCAGCAACTGGTTTGTCCCCACTGTGGTTGATATGTTCCCTAAACAAATAACTATCAGACCGGAAATTGTGATATTTTGACATATAATTGACACTATTTGACATATGATCTTCTAAACTCTGGATATCCTCTGGATATCTTAACTTGCTGATTTTTTAAACTCTTAACCTCTAAACCTTTATAAAGTTTTGACCTTTAAACCTATATATCTCTTTGAAATCTTGATATTCTTGACTTCTTGACTTCTTGACTTCTTGACCTCTTGACTTTATGACTTCTTGACTTCTTGACTTCTTGACTTCTTGACTTCTTGACTTCTTGACTTCTTGACTTCTAGACTTCTTGACTTCTTGACCTCTTGACTTTATGACTTCTTGACTTCTTGACTTCTTGACTTCTTGACTTCTTGACTTCTTGACTTCTTGACTTCTTGACATCTTGACTTCTTGACTTATTGACTTATTGACTTCTTAACCTATTGACTTCTTGACCTCTTGACTTCTTGACCTATTGACCTTTGAAACCCTATATAACTTATTTGATATACAAAACTCTTGACTTCCGAAACCATGGACCTAATTCCTTTCGAGCTTACGACATCATGACATTTCAACTTAATGACCTTATGACCTCCCGACCTTTTAACCTCATGAACTTTTAACCTTATGAACTTTTAACCTACCTCATGAACTTTTAACCTACCTCATGAACTTTTACCTCATTACCTTATGACCTTATGACATCTTGACCTCAATGAACTGACCTGAGGACAACCTCTACATTCTCCATATACACAATCATAATACTGTCCAGCCTCACATGGAACTAAAAAGAATCATAATATTTGTTCGAGAATTTTTTAAATTTGGTTATTCATAAAACTTCCCTAGTTTCACGTAAGACATCACACAAAATTTGGGCCCGATTGGTTCGGCCGTTTTGACGTTTATTGGATACTAACATACAAACAGACAGACAAGAAAGTATATGTATAGGCTTGTAGAGCACTTGCTTGCTTGCGCATTTTTTAAATTTTGCAAAAATAAAAAACTTAATTTTTTTTTTGAAACTTTGCTCATTCATAAACCTTCCTTGGGGTCACGTGAGGTCCTACACAAAATTTGGTCCCGATCGGTTCAGCCGTTTGACGTTTATTGGATACAAACAAACAAACACCCAAGCAAAGTATGTATAGATGGATTATACATATTATAAATATTATGGATTATGATTATTGTTAATAGGATTATAAATATGGGTTATCAATGTTATAAATATTATAAATATTATAGATCATAATTATTATAAATATTTGTAAACTTAAAGGGCTACATTTCATTTAAAAAATATTATAAATGAGCAGAAACTCCCAATTTTATTGTTAAAGCATTATTATTGTCATTTAGCTACTTTCTTTAATGTCTTGATCGAGTTGTATCTCGATAACTGTTCTTGGTATTTTTTAGGTACTATTTATGTTTTTATATATAATAAATGATAAGGTTGTCAGGGGAGGGGAGGGGTATTTCTAACCTGCCACTAAACAAGGAGTAGTGTATGCAAAGCCTAAGTTTGAACCAGATGTTTTCTGTTCCTCTCCTCCATTATGAAGAACAGTATCATCTCTACTGGATTTCTCAGTAGGATTTACACCAGTCTCTGCTGGCACAAACATCTCATTTTTTGAAAAAAATCTCTTTTAAAAAAAATGTGCCGAATATGATGGAAGATTTTTTTTACCTTTCCTTTTAAGGAACAGTAAACGTGATTTTTAATGGCCCTTCAATGACTAATTGGCTTATATATACGATTTACAAGGGTACCCTTTTCTATATTCTTGTTATCTGATCCAGGCAACATTTGTAGCATAAAACGTCAAATATATACTGGGTGGCCAGACTGGACAGTACAACTGAATGCATTTCTGTATCGGCTCGGATCATGCAAACTTTTAGATTGGGGTGATATATATTTCTCTTCTTTATCAGTTGTAGTTTCTTTGAAAAGTGACCCACGGATTTTTGCTACAGAAACAATGGAGAAAATTGTCCAGAGTAAACACTTTTCCGACTAAAAGACGATGATATCTTCCACATCTTTGATCAGATAAAGGTTGATGAATGATGCCGTTGTAAATTGAGCTTAAATACCACATTTTTAATGAAGGGTAAAAGATTAAAATTACTGCAGTCACTTTAAAGCGAAGATAAGATAATGAGTTTAAATCTGAACCGGACTTAATTTGATTGATCCGTTAGTTCAAAAGTTTCAAACTTAGAAAAGCACTGATTTATGACGTTAAAAATAAGCTTATCAATTACTATTGTTATTATCCAAATATTTAAAAATATGCTTACAAAAAAATTTCAATGGCATAATTTTTCCACGTTTTCAATAAAGAAAATCGAAAAGAAAAATCAGACGAATATTTAGTTTGCTTCAGATTTTAATAAAAATAAATATGTTTTCGTAAATCATGAGATTATATCATGAAAAACATTTTTTTTAAAAGCTTAGAAAATATTAATCAGATTAGGTTTAAAACAGGAACAGATGCATGGCAGTATTTTCTTTGTCAAGTTTTCTGTAAAATTGTTGATATTATCATGTAGAACCATTTTGTTTATGATAACAGCACCTCTTTCAGAAGAGTTTTGAATCATTCCAACATTTTTCTACTTTCCCCCTTGAAAAAAATGGAATTAGTTGTAAATTACAGAACATGTCGTATTAAATAATAAAGAAAGTGAGATGTTAGTTCCTGGTAATGTGTCTTGATGATATAATTTAGTTTGAGGTTTCCGAAGGAGTAAGGATACATTTAATGAGAAAGATGCCAGGAGCCCAACATACAGAAGAACAATTACTATAAGATACCATTTCCGGGCAACCCGTTGCCGGTTTATTTCCTGCTCCAACTGAAATATAAATTATCAAATTATACAACTGCTCCAAAAATACTGACAAAAAAAACGTACTTTTACATTTATTTAATAATCCTGGCAAAAAGTATTGGGAAAAAAACTAATTTGATCTTAAGGTGTAGGCTTCTCTAACGAAATTAGCAATGATTAATGTAATCCGCGAAAACTATGGAACTGTAGCAGTTGGTTTTGATGAAATAAATTTTGCAATAAGTTCATAAAAGTTTAATGGATACGGAAAAGTTTGCTTGAATTATGAAAACTTTCTCCCCAAGACTAAAGACTTTTCAGGCACATTTCGACCGCAAAATATTTTTAAAACTTTTGATTTTTTTCAAAAAAAGTTTTTTAAATGGTAATATCTGTCAAAAAAATATCATTTAATAAAATATCATTTCATGATATTCTTCAATAAAGTATCTTTCATAAAATATCTTTTAAATATATACCTTATCTTTTTTAAATATCTCACCATAAAACATCTTTCAATAAAATATCTTTCAATAAAATATATATTTTTTAAATATCTTTCGATAAGATATCTTTTTGGTAAATTACTTAATTTCTATCAACTACTGGAGCACCGAGCAGCTAAGAAATCAAGTTTGCCAGTTTTTGAAACTTTTAAACTAATTGTTTATTCGAAAAGTAATCTTAATAAATCAAGAATGGGAAGGAGGGAGGTAGGGGGGAGGGGTATAATAAAAGAGGAGGGTGTAGTATTAGAAAAGAGGAGGAGGGTAGAAGAAAATAGCAGGGGGCAGAAGAAAAGAGGAAGGAGTTAGATGAAAAGAGGAGGGAGGTAGAAGAAAAGAGGAAGGGGGTAGAAGAAAATAGAAGGGGAAAACATTAATTCTAGCTTAGTTTACCATTCTCAGAAAATAATGGAAAATTCGACTCTAATTATATTCCAAGTTTATTCGGGCTGAAAACTGGAAATCAGGAAACAATGAAGCTTGGGGTTTAGGAGGGTGCAGTCTTTAAGGGGGGTAGGGGCTCGTGTCCCGTTGCCCCCCCTGGAAAGAACTGTTAATTGAAAATAACTAATGGAGGATTTCGTGTTTTTTTTTAAGTTCGGTAGTTTCCAGTTTTCAGATTATTACCTCAAAATGTCTTTTCATAAGAATGGTTCTCTCCTCGGCCCAGCTGGCAGTCGGAGATTCACTCCCCTCACCCCATAGATCAGGGTTCATCACCTGTACACATACATAGAGGTCATGGAGTACATAGGCTATACAGTATACAGTGCAAACCGGTCAATCAGTACATATATATGGGTCATGGAGTACATTGGCAATACAGTACAAACCGGTCACTCAGCACATAGGGGTCATGGAGTACATAGGCTATACAGTACAAACCGGTCAATTAGTACATTTGGGTCTTGAAGTCATAGATTATACAGACTTTACAGATTATAAAGTCTAAAACATGGTAATTGTAAATAAATGGTGAAAAAAAAACTTTAAAAGGAAAAAACATGATTAAAAGTAAGTTCAAAATTTGTATTGAATAACTTCAAGTCAAGAGCAAAATATTTCAGTAATGTTTAAAAGGTACCGTTGTGAATCGTATATTTGCCACTTTTAAATGAAGGTCGTCACTTGAAATTAATTATGTCTTCAATTATGTTTTGTTAATATCTACATTGTACCAAAGATTATCAAGTACAAAAGGTGGCAACAGAGAAATGGACCATTAATACATGACGTCACAAGTGTCAAATATAACAAGGAAAACGAAATTTTCTGACATTAGTTGATATGTTTTCCAAGATTAAATAAAAAAGCGTAAAGACAGAAAATAAAGTATACATAAAATTTCACTTTTTTTTACTGAAAGATTAGTACTTTATTCTAAAATTATCACTATTATTAATAATTTTGTCGGACACAGAAACTGAGTTGACACTTGTGACGTAAGAATACAGCTGTTCTGAGAGTGTACAAATTCTACGTTGCCATCAGTTGAACTGGAATCTATTTGCATTGTACATACTTGATACTTATGATTGAACTATTTTTGTCTAATATACAGGGTGTCCCAATAAACATGGGAATTCAGTGACGAATTCAATATCGTCTTTTAAGATAATTCTTTGATTTAGTATAGAAATACCTACTGAGAAAGCTGTAATCTGTAAGAGTTTCGTCTGCTATGTTCACATTTTGTTTGTTTATGTTTTGACTGCATACGGTTGTACTTAGTAAAACACGAAAATTGCAATATACAAACAGAGTAAACGTTCATCACTGTTCATCTTACGGAGACATTATAGACACATCTTTACAGTCTCTTACCCTTTTCATAAAATAAACTCTAACAGACATAATAATATTATGGCTTTTGAAATTAGGTATTACAATGCTAATTCATAATAAAGACGATATCCAATTCGTCACTGAATTCCCATGTTTTTGGGATACCCTGTAGATGGGGGGGGGATTTTTTCCCCATGTCTTGATATGGTAAAGAGTTCAGACAAAAAAAAAATTGTATTTATAGAATCAACTGTGTATTATTCCAACCATAAAAATAAAATTAAAATTTGGGGCTTTATTAATCTTACTTATCAGCCCATTATTTGTCTCTTTATAACGGTACACATATTACCTATTTTAAAATTCAGGTTGGCAGTCATCAATAAGGAAAATTAAAAAGGTTAAATAAAATGAAAACCTTATGTTCATTGCCCTTTCTCTGTGCTTTCGGATAAAAATAACACCCCAATGAAAAGACATGTCAGACGCTGATAAGCTTGTATTATAACTTCTTAAAGGGTCTGTAAGCGTTATTTCACGTGACCCTCCATGCATAGATGGAAATGCCCGATTTACAATGATATCCTTAAAGCTTTGCCAATGTTTATCATTTTGAAACCTGCTTATTTTCAATTGTGGTTTCTAATACTTTTAAACCTAGAAAAACGACAATATCTTCCACATTATTGATAAGATAAAGGTTTCAAGGGTATTGCCATCTTTGCATGGAGGGTTACTTGAATTACAGTCCCTTTAATTAAAATATACGTTGTACGATAATATCAAAATATCAGAATAAAGTCGTACTGCACTGGACTTGATTTTTGAAGAAAAACTAAAAAAGTTATATAATGTTATTATAAGATGAAAAATGTAAAGATTTTCTGTTTTTCTTCATGATGAATTAGCTGAATGTTAACTTAAATTTTCTCTTTGATTCATTTAGCTTATATAGCATAGCATAGAGAGGTTTTAGCAAGAATCTTGTCGTGTATTTTATTCAATTGAGTTTTATTCAAATATACTGTTTTATCAAACTGAAACGTATTTGCAACAAATGGAGACTTCCATTTCTGAAATTCGATAAATTTGAGACATTGATATTTTATTTTATGGACTCTGGGATATCTGAAAAGATAAATATTTCTTATCTGATTTCAATAAAAAAATCGGAGTATTATTTCAAGGAATTCTCACCTTCATCTGAGTATTATCTCAAGGAATTCTCACCTTCATCGGAGTATTATCTCAAGAAATTCTCACCTTCATTGGAGTATTATCTCAAGGAATTCTCACCTTCATCTGAGTAGTATTTCAAGAAATTCTCACCTTCATCGGAGTATTATCTCAAGGAATTCTCACCTTCATCGGAGTATTATCTCAAGGAATTCTCACCTTCATCGGAGTTTTATTTCAAGGAATTCTCACCTTCATCGGAGTATTATCGCAAGGAATTCTCACCTTCATCGGAGTATTATCTCAAGAAATTCTCACCTTCATCGGAGTATCATCGCGAGCAATTCTCATCTAATCCTAAACTTTTGCTCACTTCTGATGTAGAATTCATTTATAATATATATCTACATGTTTCTGAAATATTGTTGTTCTCATACGTATGTACTCGAAAAAGTAAAGAGTCGATATACTAATACGTACACGGAGTCGGACCGGTCTTTTTTAGTAAGTATATCAGATTTTTGTGTTTAGGGATATTTTGGACCAGTTTCAAGCAAATGAAGTCAATTTTTTGACAAATTACAAAAAAAATTTAAAAATATTGTTTTACTTTTTGAATCAATTAAACTAAACAGCCTTAAATCTAAAATTGTTTTGTAAATAAAGAAATGAATGAATTTATTTAAATGAGAAGGTTTTATTAAAACATATTTCTAAACCCCGCGTGTTTATGAAATTTATGTAGTATTCTTTATTTAAGATTGGATTCAGGGTTTATGTTGGAACTAAACAAGAACATTAAATTATTTATTCCGAGTCTATTTTGTTTATTTCTTTACTTAAATACTTACTCAAACTTTTTCTCAAGTGTTCAGGACACAGAGCAGAGATTAGAATAGAAGGGAAATATCCCTCGGTATAAATTTGTTCAGTCCCTTTGAGCTTGAAAAGGAGTTCAAAGTGTACAACTCATGGAAATGTTCACAAATTGTACGCAGTACATCATAATAATACAGTATGATCCCTTGACATAGCATTTACAATTTCTTTATTTTAACAAGCTTATCCTGAATAATAATGCAGTATGATCCCTTGACATAAAATTGACAATTTCTTCATTATATAATGCTTGCTTATGCTAGCTGAAATATTAATACAGTATGATCCCTTGACAAAATATTGCCAATTTCTTCATTTTATAAAGCTCATTCTGAAATTAACTCGGAAATGCATGTCAGAGAACTGATTTAAAGATAATTAAATAATTTTCAAGAAAATATTTTTCTATAAAAAGATGTTTTAGGGCACAAATGTCTGAAGTACACCTGTACTCTACAGTATGGAAACAGTACAACAAAATGGCGGTTTTACACATTTTTCGTTTTAATTCCACTCTATATACTTATCTAGTCTCTTTGGTTCGGGGCAATGAGGTTTAAGGGTAGGCAGAAACCTCAAGTGTTGGAGAAGTATTTAAGTATTTTAGGAAGGGCGGGGGGGNCTTCCTGCCATATTATATACCTTCAAAAATACAAAGTTAATGTAGTTAATGTATACTTCCTGCCATATTATATACCTTCAAAAATACAAAGTTAATGTAGTTAATGTATACTTCCTGCCATATTATATAGCTTCAAAAATACAAAGTTAATGTAGTTAATGTATACTTCCTGCCATATTATATACCTTCAAAAAGGGCTCATTCCCTACATTTCTTAATGTTGTATCAAATATTTTACAAAAAGTGTATTTGGTTTACTTTTTATAAAAGAATCAAAATCAAAGATCATTTGCTGGAGGGAGGGAGTGCAGGGCCGCCATGAGCCCCGCGAAATTACCTCCGGAGCCTCATAATACGCAGAATGACCTCCAAGTCCGCAAAACGGTGTCGGCGCCTCTCACTTCCTCCCCAAGCCTCCGTAATTCTATCTCCATGCCCTGCAGTTTGGTTTCCAATAAAAGATATTCGGCTTTTACATCCACAAAAATTAACTTTTTCAAATAATCTCAACATGCTAAAATAGTTTTTAATGATACATAAACAGTTTGTTTTTAAAAGTCTATTTTAATAGAGATTAAACTTCTATTTTCTTTTTCTTTTAACAAATTCCTGTAAATAACTATGTCAGTTTGTTTTATATAAAGAAAGGAAATTTTTTTATTATTTTTCAGGTGTTTCTTGTACGAATCAAACTATATTAGCACCTATTCAAAAAACAAAATAGTTTTTGTGAATCACTTGCATTTGTACTTTTATTGTATGTTTTTCTATGTGAACTTTTTAAAAGAAAACAAGTTAAGATCAATACAATTCAATGAATAAATATTTGAACTTTTTGGATTAAATGTTTTTTCAAACCATTGTGGATCAATTCTATCATGTAGAGATATATTTTGATTTTTAGTTGGTTAAGCCATAATAGGTAAATGAAAAATATATACAGCAAGCGGAGATCAAGAATTAAGGAGGCTTGGAGACGTAACAAGAGGCACAGATACAGCTGTGCGAGGGGTGGAGGTGATTTAGTATCACTGGAGGCTCCGGAGGTCATTTCGCGGGGCTCATGGCAACTCTGCACCCATCCCTCATTGCTGTTGCAGGAAAATGAATCGAAAATATTAATTTTATTATTGTTCTATACTAAACTAGATATATAGAAGGATGAGTGAGTGTTCAAGGCAAACGCGTTCATCATTCTTATTGTAATCTTAATCTTCAAGATTGTATATATATGTAGAAATTGGGAGAATTGGGAGAATTGGGAGAATTGGGAGAATTGGGAGAATTGGGAAAATTGGAAGAATTGGAAGAATTGGAAGAATACAGCATATTGTTGAATTTAAACAATTTTTTTTTATCCCATTATGAATTCTTCATATCGTATTCATTTATTATCTTAAGACTTTGGAGAGCTGAAAACTTTAGAAAAGTGGATATCAAGATCAATGCTTTATATCCTCTTTATGAAGATTATGAAGTGTCTAAAATTCAACCAATCAGAGTGTTGTTTACATAAAGCGAACAGCCAATCAGAGGCCAGGGCCGGGAAATTTTACGGTCAATCAATGAGAGACATAGAGAATAGAATATATATTAGAGAGGAATTTAAAGAATCTCTCGGTATGAATTTTTTCAGTCCCTTTCAGCCTGAAAGGAGTTCAAAGTGTAATCATGTGAATGTTCACAAATTATGTGCAGTAGAGTACATTAATACAGTATGTTCCCTAGACTATATTTCGAAATTTTTAAAGCTGTTAAATAAACTTTATAATGAATTAGGTGAATAAAACCATCATTTGATTTACAGTTTTATTAAAGGAAAATCATCGTTTGTAAAGTGAAAGGCATAGAGTCTATGTGAAATGATCATTGGTCAATTATGAAAACAGCCTATTTCATAATTTGGTTTTCTTTTAACATTAATTTTAGATTTTCTATAAAATGATATTCCAGGGCCCAAAAGGTTATATAGCATAAATATGTGAAGTAAACCAGCAGTGTGGAAACAGTACAACAAAATGGCCGTTTTACACTTTTTTCTTGTAAATTCCCCTCTAATATATACTCTATTCTCTATGATGAGAGATCTCTAATTGGTCTGAATCCAGGAGGGATATCCAAAAGAGAGGATTAACAAGAAAGTCGATGAATTGAAGGTAAATAAGATAATAAAAAAAAATATTGAAAAAGCAAGAATCACTTATGAAGAAATGAATGTTAATAAACCCGGCCATCCATGGCATTAATAAAAAGATTATGAATCCTAGATTATCTGTAGACAGGGTGTCTCTAAAATATTGGAGTTTTTAGTCAAAGCTTTTCCTTATTGTTTTTCTGACAATTACTTCTTGGTGAATTTGCAGAAAAATATACAACAAATTAAACAAACATAACATTTTTGTAATTATTTTTAACATCCATAAATCTTAATTGGGGTCATGTGAGGTCCCACACAAAATTTGGGCCCAATCGATATATACGTTTATTGGACACAAACGGAAAGACAAACAGACAGACAGACAAGCAAAGTATAAATATACTTATACATGTTTTAACGATGTAAGGAATTACAAAAAGGAAAATAATAATATAAAATTTTCAATAACAGACAATTTCGTAAAAAAAGTATGCTTTATAAACTTGAAGCCAAATGTTTTGAATTTACAGTTCAAATTTTGCCCATCCACCTAGGAGCCTCCCCCTCCAGATTTGTTTCTGTATACGCCCTTATACAAAACCTTATTGCAGAATTAATTCTTTTAAATTTTAAATATCGCCTTTGATCTATGAAATTATTTACGGCATTTTTTGGTAAACCTGCTTTTATAAGTATGATGTTTGAAACAATACCCACAGCATACCCTTGGTCCTGGAATTTCAAAACTATACAGTCTACTTTTTTCTTGGTTTATAAATTACCGAATTTCGTTAAAATTTCAGTTTATCAAATAAATCAAAACCGAACGAACTTCTTCCTATGATGAGAGCATGCCGCAACGTGTTTCAAAGATTAAAGAAGATGTTCAAGTCGTCTTCTGTAGGCTGTATAACCCTGTTTACCTTAGGCAGTTGCCATTCTCTGTTGCGCGCAATGCTCCGTGAAATTCCAAAACAGAGACTCAGCGCTAGGCCACATAGCCTGTCCTAGCCGCAGCGCTCGGACCAGAAAGTGTCTTAACCTAACCTAACCCTAAATAAATACTAATTTCTGGATCTACAAAATTCAATCCCCCTCTCTCTGTTTTGGAATTTTACGGGGCATGTGCGTGCAACAAAGAATGGCAACTCCCTTCAACTTATGGGGCTATTGACATATCGGCTTTTTATTTGTTTACAAATTATCGATTTAGTTCTTAGCTAATTCCTTTTTTCATTCTCAGAATAGTTCATTTTTTCCTTTTTAGTTAATTCGTGTATAATTGTCAGAAAATGAATATCTTATAGTTCATTATATTAGAATGTGCTTCAAAAGTTTAAGTTTAATGTAAATTAGTTTTTAATATTTTCCCCCTAACTTTTGAACGTTATTTATAAATAAAAACAAAAAGTACAACATTTTCAGTAAATTTTTAATATAAATATGAAAAGTTCAATAAAATTCCAAATATTTTATTTATGAAATGGAAAACTATAAACATTTTACGCTTATAAAACGCCTTTTATTTCTTATTTTTAGACAACCAGTTTATAGTTCGCATGAAAAGGACTTCAAGTTGGGTTTTTTTATTTAGAAAAATGGTTTAAATACATTGAAAGTATCTTGAAAATGAAATGCATTAACACAAAAAATAATAAGTAATAAAAAATTATTTAAAAACACAAAAATATTGATTAAAAAATATTTTCCTCGAAAATTTCTTATAAATGTAAACAATCTTAACTTACAAATGAAAGCGTACTATCAGGGAT